CCCCCCCCCCCTAATACTTCAGCAGTAAATTGGTTTGGGTGATTTTGATCTATGAGGAAATTAGGTATCATTAGATGGTGGAGGAGGAAATGGGTGAGGAGTTAATGGCATACCACTGTGATCAGTTGCAGAAATTCTGCTGTTGGAGAGAGTCTGTAGTAGCTGTCTTGAGTTTGTAAGAGCCATATATCAACACTACCCTTTGACTTAGGTGCCTTGATGTTGAAATGTTCAACTTCAGACTCTCACTGTTATATTTTTTAAGGGCTGAGTGCTTGATATCTCACCCATTTTTGCTGCATTTTTGGTTCATGAATATCGCATAGCTGTTTGTAACTGAGCAAAGGAAGAACAGCTATCCAGAACTTGAGAGCCTTGTTTTGTTCATATGAGTCAGTGACCTAGAACATCTTTTAAAGTGAATTAGATCTGTTACAAAGATACTATCATTCCATCTGTAGTCAAACCACGGTAATAAAAATAAATAAAGCTTGAGGTTGTATTTGTAGATACATGCCACGAGTTGATTTTAACATCTATGTTATCTTTTGACCAGCTCTTTATATTTCAAAATGATAAAGCAATTTGTCCTCTACATGTAAATAATTTGACCCGTATCCTCAACTGGTATAAACTATCAGACTTAAATGACAATAGTTATGGATCTGTCCTGAATATCTGTTCCATTTCATGCACTTTTTTGCCCTGCTGCCACCCTACTCTGTTCTAGTCCTTCCAAAAAACAGTCCTATCAATAAGCTGATTACTGGTAGTGACCTGGTTTGTGTCAGTGTCTTACAGACATAACACATCATTCTGCAAGGTTCCAATAATGTAAAACTGGTGCTAACACCTACAGTTCTTTGTCTTACTGGGGTTATTAAGATTTAAAGTCTTCCTACCAGCAAAAAACTCACTGAAGAATTGTTTCTCCGTAATAGGACTATATGGTTGCTTGTGGAATAATGGACTAGAGTGCAAAATGAGTAAAAAATCACAGTTTGTCACCTGTAAAATATTTCTTCTGGCAGTTTGTTCTTTTTTTTTTTTTTTTTCTTTTCCCCTGAAGCTGTAGGAAACTGGATGCCATTATCAAAGGTGATGCTGTATGTCTTCCTTTCATCCCACCCTTTTCAAGAGAAGGAATGTGACTCGGCTACACGCACCACAGTTTTCCTGTCCTTGATGAATGCTACTGCACCAGCTTGCAGTTCCCTGACAGCAAGGCAGCTTTGCTTCACAGAAATGGATCTCTCCTTTCACATCAAGGAGAATAAACCACCCGGCACATTTCATCAGCTCCAGTTACCCTCAGTTCATCATCTGTGTCAGAATCTCAGCATTTCCTACAAACTGCTGGCAGGTAAAACTGGAACTGAGCCACTCATGTACCAGCAATAGATGTAACACAGGTGCACTCTTAAGATCTCTTTTGTAGTAGATCCTCTAGATTGATCCTGTAAAGGAAATTCCATTGCAAGTGTGAAATTAACCTGAAGATTTTTGCCTTTGAGATATATAGAGAGGATGGGAAGAAGGACTATCCCCTTCCTAAGGAAGAAGGTTGAGTTTAGAAGTTCACACATGCTAAGACTAGACTGAATATCCTGGGGTTTAAATTGTGCTGCTTATAGATCATAGAATGTTTGGGTTGAAAGGGACCTTAAAGATCATCAGGTTCCAACTCCCTTGCCATAGGCAGGGACACCTTCTGCTAGACCCAGTTGCTCAAAGGCCCATCCAGCCTGGTGTTACACACTTCTCGGAATGAAGCATCCACAATTTTTCTGGGCAACCTGTTTCAGTGCCTCAGCACTCTTACAGTCAAGAACTTCTTCCTCATACGTAATCTAAATCTCCCCTCTTTCAGTTTAAAGCTAACCCCCTTGTCCTGTCCCTGCATGCCCTTCTAAAAAGTCCCTCTCCAGATTTCTTGTAGGCCCCCTTTAGGCACTGGAAGCTGCCCTAAGGTCTCCTCTGAGCCTTCTCTTCTCCAGGCTGAACAAGCCCAAGTGTCTCAGCCTGCCTTCATAGGAGAGATGTCCCACTTATGCTGTGAGTCCCAGAGCTGAACTCAGTGCTCCTGGTGGGGTGTCTACCCTAATATAACCAGACAACGTACTTGTGAGTCTGCCTTCTATCATGCAGTCTAAAATGGATTTGCTGGATTGCAGAAGAGTATTAAAGAAGAAAACCATCAGAGTCCTACAATAGGAAGTGATTGTACCTATTTATACTGCGGCTATGTTTTTCAGCTGAAGGTATGCCCTTTCGATACAATGAGAACACCACTGGTGTGAGTGTGACACAGCGTCTAGATCGAGAAGAGAGAGAGAGATATGAGCTGATTGCCAAATGTACCGTGAGAGAGGGCTTCAGGGAGATGCAGGTGGAGGTGCCCTTCCTGGTGAATGTGTTAGATGAAGATGACTCTCCACCCTTCTTGCCCAATGGCACTGACACTGCAGATGCTGTCGTGGAGTTCAACAGGAAAGAGGTAATTCTCTTTTTTATCTAGTCTGTGAAGTAGGAGCATAGCAGTGGGAAACAGATCTATACTCTGGGTGGTGGATCTTGGCAAGAACCACATCGCTGCCCCATACTCTACAGACCTGTGACTGTAAAATGCTGAGTTTGTAGGATTCCTTTCTCGTGAGTTGTATCTTATTCAGACCCCAAAGAAAGAAGACAATTAAACAGTGTAAGGAAATGTCAGCAGTTCCTGAGGTCAAGATGGACCATTGCTGAGACTGTAGTCAGGATCACTGTATCTCCCTATGGTGAGGTCTGCTCTGTATTTGTTACAGAGTTGTTTCCCCAGGTGACCGAACTGAGCGTTAGGGCAAGTGTATGTGTGTGTGCTTCCCATAAATGCAAATCTATATAACATATCAGAACATTATTCAGAACATTTGTTAGGATGGTATAGTTAAAAGAAGCTGTTGCCTTCTGCAGACAAACAAACGCTGGACCTGTAGTGGTGGTAGAGTTTCCGGGGCCAAGCTGTTAAGGAAGAGCTCCAGGATCTTACTTTAATGGTGCTTTCCCACTTTTCCCTTACCATGCCAATCTTTCCTGGTGATCTTTCAAGAGGTTTTTCAAGAGGTCTTAACCCCTGGGTGTCTTTGCGTGTGCCCCCTGAACATGTATACCCCTTGCTTCAGTAGAAAAGTATACAGGTGAGTTCTTTGGCTCTTCCATAGGAGCAATAACACGTTATAAGTCAGGGGTATAAAGAAGGCACTTTGGGGGCCTCAGTGATGCATTTTTCTTGAGGGAACATCTGTTTAATAACATCTGGTTTTTTTGTAGTAAGGTTTCACTTCAAAGTACATTTTACTCGTATTTGTGTCTGGAAGGGGAATGATTTTGGGAGTTTGCTGCCACCTCCCGACTAGAACAAGTGTTGACAACACACCTATGAACGCATTTGCTTGGGTATAAAGTAATTCCTTTTTACTTCTGAAAAACCTGAGGTTTGGGAGTTCCATTTAGCTCTGGATGACAGAAATTGAAGATCTCCTGAAACGGTTTTATAAAGTAAATTACTTTCTTTGACCATTACATGCCTGCAAAGTGTTTGGAACGCAGTGAATTTCACTGGCATTTTGCAGTGGGAAAAAAAAAAAGCATTATTTGTAAACTTTCGGTTTTTTTCTAATACTTAAATGAACTTGAAACAACAGAATGGCTGACAGAAATCTTAAAGGCCTTGTGGCTTCAGTGTCCCAGTAGAGAACAGCAATCTAGTAGCCTAAGCAGAAGACAGACAACCCAGGTCACTTTTGTCATTTGGATAATGAGTTTGACCTGTCTGAATGTATTTCATGCCTATTAAGTGTGCTGTTACTTACCTGGTATTTTTTAGTATTGTAGAATAATGTTGATTTTTAAAAATTAAAAAAAATAAAGAGTTTTCATGTGCACTCATTTCCTACCTCAAAAGTTTAGCACTGTATTTAGATATAGACTGAAATGGTGGTATGACAAGATGACAAGTTCTTTTTCACTGCTGTCTTCTTCTGATCTTCTAACTCAGATTTGAGTAGGTGTGAAATAGTGATAACCTGAATCTTAAAATGAATTTGAATGAAAGTAGGCTTGAGAGAAAGTTGTAAGGTTTTACTTGACCAATATTTCAATCTCCCAAACACATACCAGAGGATGAAAGCTTTGGGTCATTCAGCAATGTCATTTATTATTTCCTTCTAGGGAACTGTTCTTGCAACGCTAACTGTATATGATGCAGACACAACACCTATTTATCCCCTCGAAAGCAGCAGAAAGAAATACACAGGAACCATCATTACTGATGATCCGTGGATGAGTGAAACATTTCGGGTAGAGCACATCTTCGATGAAATCCACTTCAGCCCAAATGGTAGCCAAGTGAGGGGAACCCGACATGAGTACAGTAAGGTGTCTTTCTTCAAATAAACAAGTTGCTTGGTAGTAATTGACCAATAAGCTCTTGAACTTTTCTAAGTAAATATTGAGTCAAAAAAGCCAAGAAATTTCTAGTTAAACAAATGCTGCGTTTTAAAAATGTGCTGAGAAAATTAAGTTTATTCATCTCTGGGATAGGGAGCTTATGGCATGATGTTGTAGGTACTGGTAAGCAAGAGGTTCTGATTGTGGGGTTCTCAGCATTGTAGGTAGAAGGGAAGAGGACTTCTTCAAACATCTTGAACGGCACAGAGCATAACTCTGTAGGAGCATATTTTAATATTTAACTTGCTTTCTGTTTCCTGTTAGGAATAACTTTGATACATATGATTTTGATATGTATCATTTTATTGGAATTGTACCAAAATGTATGTTTGTGGATAGCGTGGGCTGGTAATGGACTAATCTTTTCCTTTGCAGAACTGGTACTGAATAAAAGCATTTCAGTCACAGAGCATCGTTCCTTCCAGTTGGATGTTTTGGTGAATGACACAGAGTTTCATGGCCCAGAAAGATCGGTGATGCTTCATTTCAATGTCTCCATCCTCCCTGTCAGCATTCAGTTTCCAAACATGACTTACCAGTTTACAGTGAACAGAAATGCTGAACGCTTTGCACAAGTAAGAACTGTGTTGATTATACTTTCACTTCAGACAGAGCTCAGTAGATAGATCACTGCGGTGAGATGCGTTGAAGCATTGGTTTTAGCTGTTTTCAGTAGAATCAATGAGAAATGTGATATCAATATGATTGTTGCTGGATGCAGTGGATAGCAGGTAGACTGGACACTAGCTCTCCCATCACATAATGACAGAGAAGGAGCCACACATGGAAATAATGTGCGTTATAGACAGGAGGACTTGCAACCCTTAAGCATAAATAACTGGAAGAGTATCAAGGGCAAAAAAAGGAAATTTGTCCCAGCTATTGGGGTCACGGCTCTACATATTGCAGTATGTTAATGGTTTTTCTTTAGATAACGGCTAGTTAGTAATTAATGCGTTTCCTAATTTAACCCTAATTTTAGCTTAATCACCACCATGGCCATTAATAACGCCTTCCAGAAACACTTTATAACAGGTTGACATTGATCAGGTAAAAATTACAATGTAATTTCTATGGAACATGTACATTAATAAGGAACTAGTTTAATGTAATTAATATTGTGAAAGTGAATATTAAAAACATCAGTGACGAGCCATTTTTTTGAGAGCTGCTGGAAAATATACCTAAAAATGAAATAAAGTTATAAAACTGCCGCTGTGTTTACAGCAGAGAGGAGGACTGAGACTAAAATACGGTATGATCATCCCAATTGCAGAGAAACCCAATTCATTAGAAGACTTCTAAGGAAGAATTCAGTTTTATTAATCTTCAAGTTGTAAAAGAAAGAAGAAAGTTAGATATATTGTGTGGTCTTACATTCAATCTGATGAAATGTATTATGGCTTGATAGCTCTTCAGAGTAAGGAACGGGCCTTGCACAAATAATAATAATGCCACTGCTTCATCAAGAGATATTTTACCCATAGTCTGCACTGAATATACTAAATAAGAGAAGGGTATTATTGCTGTGCTCACGTAGTGAGCTCCTACAAAAAGCTACTTCTTTATATCATCTGGCGTTGACTTGCATCTGCAACTATTAAATTTGCACTCTGTTAGAAAGTTCAGTGCATATTCTGTGCTTTTTGTGCAGATCACAATATTTTTGATGTCCAGTTTGGGTATTTTTGTAGCACCAGATTATGAAAGCTTTATTCTCAGTAGTGTAAAAAAACTCTTGTCTGGAGATAGGATGAAACCAGCGGGTTTCCCCTTAAAAGAAATAATAGCATAGGTGCGCAAGCTCCTAGCTCTTAGCATCTAGAAATAGACCCCAGCTGTATGTATGTCGTGACATGACTGTAATTGTGAAAAGTGTGGAAACTTAACTATTAGGTAGATAAAAATATAGCTTAATTTATTGCATTTTTTTGTGTGTGCATGTGTGTATAGGTGAATGAATGAGTTCCTAATTAAATTTGGTTAAACTGTATTTATCTATGCATACCCTAGATTGCTTAAACACATTTGTTTTGAAGTTTGGGGATATATAGTTTTCTAGTGACAGAATGCTAAATAAAAAAACCAAAACAGCCAACCATTTAACTTTTAAAGCTGCCGGGTTTGCATGTTGTCAGGATAGTCAAACATCTGAAAGGGAATTTTAGGGTTTCTGGAAACAGTGGCACTTCCCACTAATTGTGCAGTTTCACTGGGTGGCAGTAGTGGCAGGGAAAAGTATTCCAGGCCGGAACGCCAAGTCCGTGGGAAGAGCTCTTCGTGCTGCCTAAACACAAATTCACAAAGAGATTTGTTCTGATTCTTGACCAGCAAAGTGCAAAACTCATCCTGGCTCTGGAGATGGCGTTCTCAATCAGTTAAAGTGCCATCCACTTATTTCAAGACAAGGTTTGAATTTACAGTGTGCTCGGCTTGGAGCACAGTAAGTGTAAGCAGCCTAGTCCCCAGCACTTCACATTATTCAAGTTGTCTGCATAATTAGCCGTGGTGTGCCAGAGCAGTAAGGAAAAGTACTGGGCCAAATCAGTATGAAGGCTGAACTGTCTCTTGCCCTAAGGAAAACACAGAGCATGAAGAAATGATTAACTGCTGGGCTGATGCCATTTGTCTGTTTGAGCAGCTAAATGAATTGAATAACGGAAGCATAGCCTGACGGTACAGGCTTGCCCAGTGGCATTTAACTTATCAAAGGACTTAAAGCTCTATTGACATTTACTGAGACAAATGACGAATAACATTGGCTGAGATTTTTAGAGAGGTTGTATGTCCAAATGTCCCTGGAATTCAGTGAAGAGGTACATTATCATTATCCAGACTTTATTAAACTCTGGAGCTCAAAAGATGGGTTTTTTTTTGTTCCTCTTTCTGATAATGGTTTTTCTATGTTAACTATTTAGAGTCTTGCAACAAGCACATTTGTAGGTTCCTCCCCTATATATTGATGTTAATCCTGATTACCAGGCTATTTTTCACCATCCTTATGAGACAGAGGATCTGAATGCTTCTACCTCCTTTCCCTGGAGCTGTGCTCTGCTGCATCTGAGAGCTGCGCTGACTCCAGAGCCTGTGGTGCAGAGCAAAGTTTAAAGCTTGGACTTTCTCTAATGGAGTCAAACAAGAAGAGAAAGCCTATCTTTCTTGTAGAAATGTCTTGAGGAGGACATTTTTAGCTTCTCAAATTATGCAGAGAAAGGAAAACTGGCCCATATTCTCTCTTAAGGATAGTCTGCTCCTCAGGGACCCCATATTTGCGGGATCTTCTCCATCCCTTTTGCAGAAAATTTCTGTTAATCAAAAAGGTGCGTAGAAAAAGCAATTAGGGCAGAAAGTGGGCAGAACGGACAGTTTAGTCTCTATAAAGGTTAATGCCAGGGAACATTGCTATGTTCTTTTACTGCCTTAAAGAAACACCACCTAAGCAATTGCAAAACTCTGCCAGCTGCAATACAGTACCAAAATGAAGATGACACGGTTCTGGAAGGGACCTGTCTAGACCTTGTGTCTAGACAGAGTTTATGAACAGTTGAAATCTTGTCTTTTTCTTCCTGCCAGTCCAAGCATGCTGTGGAGGGGAGATGGCATGGAAGAAATGGCTTAGCTTCTGATTGCTTTAAGTCTTTGTATGTTATCCTGCCAGAACACAAGCAAGCAAGCAAACAAACAAAAACCAAACCCTAACAAAACCCCAAGCCAACCAACCAACAAAACAAAACAAAAAACAAATGAGCAAAAATGGTGCCAAATGACCAGTAAAGTGAATGGGAATAAGTGGGACTATCCTATGAGAAAGTATGGCTTCAAGGGCTGCAAAAACTTCCTCTCTGACTTTAAATAGTCCAGGTTCATAGGAAGAGGTCGTAGTAGATTTTTTTTCTTCTTTCTTTTTTTCACATTCTTTAATAAGAATGCAAAACCCAAGATCATAGAGTGATTTGGGTTGGAAAGGACCATAAGATCATCTAGTTACAACGTCCCTGGAACTAGAGGCATCTTGCCCCCCTTTTATGGGCACGGACGCTTCACACTAGACCATGTACAGATATACTTTTACCAGTGGTGGTGTTACTTGAAAACACATCTTAACTGCAGCAACTGAAAAGGATCCATCACCAAGTTCCCTTCAATCACACTCCACCCTTCACACGGTGGTTTTCCGTGCAAGAAAAGCCAACGCCTCTGGGCCTGAGCTGAATCTCACTCTTGTAAATGGAAAATTCAAAGTGAGCTTTGGATCAGTTCCTGTAGGAGCTGGACAAGAGATGAGGCTTTACATTCCTGTGCTACTTAAATAAATTGTTTCAGACTGAAGAGTGTTCTGGGGCAGATATTTTGGCAGGCAGAAGTTCAAATATGGCAAACCAGCATATTTCATTTTTAGATTAAAATGTTTTAGAAATTGCAAATGGAAAAGAATGAGGTCCTTATTCCTTTTAAGGCTTTCAGAGAACTCTGCTGGCCAGAAACTTTTGACTGTAATGTTATGAAAATTATGTATTAGCAATTTCTATCTTATTTGAAAAGAGTCTCATCTTTGTTCACACTGAGCTCTTTGATTTTTCAAGCAAGACCAAAGTGCTTCTCACTGATCAGCCTGGGACAAAGCAGGGACCAAACTCAGACTTTCCCAAATCACAGGGTCTGGTTCTCACTGAACACTGTTGACCATAAGCTGCAGGCACCAAATATCACTGGGTCTCTGGGTCAAGGCTTTTTGCGTGTCCACTGCTAGCCTCAAGACAATAGTAATACTTTCTCTCTCATTTTTACTGAAGATATATCATATTTGAAGCATTTACATACTGCATTGGTAGTAAAATATCATATCTGTTGTAAACCCAAGATAAATGCTGAACTCTGCCAGATATAATATGCATAATTGTATTTCAGATGTTTTGGGAAGCACAGAATATTTTTCATGTATAGTTGTTTTTATTTTGGGTTTTTGGTTTTGGGTTTTTTTTTTTTCTGTTGTCTGTGATTTCTTTTTTGGTGTTTGAGTCTAGATAGGAAAAATCTGCATTGAAAACTGTATGAAATTCCGTGGTGTGAACATCACCTACAAGTTACTGTCCCCCAACACAAGCTGCTATGCTGTCAGCATACTTCAAGGCCGAGAAGACAAATATGGAAGCCTTTATGTGAATGATTCCTCTGTGCTGCACAGACCGGAATGCAAGGAAATACAATACACTATTCAAGCTACAGACAAGCAAAGCAGGAAACATACCAAAACCCTCCTCACTGTTGTATTGGAAGGAACTCGTAAGTACCCAAGTCAATTAGAACTGTTTACTTATTCACCAGTGTTACTGGTATTGGGAGATGTGTTAGTAGGGTGATCATTAAAGTGATGGTATTAACAATGAAAATGAGAAGATACAGATCACAAAGTTTGACTTACGAGTTTTGATTCAGGTCTGCCTGTAGCAGATACTTGTTTGAAGAATTCACAGAAAGGTGATTTAATATATGCAATTCCTAATGTTCATGATGACATTTGACTTAGAAGAATTTTTTTGTGTGTCTGTGACCTTTAATTCATGTTTCATATATGAAGGAAAGGAAGGAAAAAAATGGTGTTTATATATGAAACCACAAATCTCTGGCCTAGGTATATTTATTCAATCATCTTTCTCCCCACTTCTCTCATATTTCCTTTTTCAAAAACAAACAAACAAATTTAAAAAAAAAGCCTAACATTCATGTAGTAATTGCACTGGCTTTGTTTTACTGAAAAGTTTGTAAGGGCAGAATGTTAGAGATATCCTGTAACAATCACAGCAGACGAGGACTACACTGGAAACAATCATTTCTCTCCAAACTATGTCCCACTTTATGCAAAACCTTACAGTTCTACCTGATAATTGCCTCTGTTCCATTCTATCACATCAAAACTCCTATGCCAAGAGCAAATGGCTTGAGGAGGAAGAAACAAAAGCCTGCAGGGACATCTCTTTTTGCAAAAGCCTTATGCTGTCTGAAATCACACATTTCTAGCTGGTGCTCTTTGGGCAGCTACTGCATTAGCCCAAGTACTAGGTGTTTTCCCTTAATTAAAAGTTTTGTATGAAGCTGTAAGTACTATGGTCTCTGTTTTTCTTTTATCAGTATGTTACTACATTCTACAGTTCTAGGCACTGACAGTGTGCTATTAAGCAAAGATAACTATACCGTCATAATCTTGCTGTTTATCTTTTATTTCACAGAAGAGAAAACCTGGGCTTCTCTTTAAGTGTTATCTAAGTTTACTAAGAGTTGGGTCAGTGTTCAGTCTTTCATTCCTTTTTCCATCTTTCCTTCCTGTCTGTCCCTAAAAATGGAATTTTCTTTCTGATTTGAGCTGACTTGCTTGTGTATTCATCTCCTTTGTACTGAAGTGACAGCAAACTCTTTTCCCAACAGTTTTAAAGAAAGAGGAGGACTGTCCTGACTCTTGTGCTGTGAGTAAGCACCATGCTGAATGTGAAGAGTGTGGTGGCCTGGGGGTGCTAACAGGAAGATGCCAGTGGAGACAGGGGAGTGGAAAAGGTACATTTCTGTTGCGTGAAATCTAGCTTCTGTTTAGTTGTAATTGTGCATTTGACTTCTGTAGATACAAAATGATTCATTCTGGCTGTACAACATGGTACAGTAAACTACACAGAAGCTGGGGCTAAAAAAATTTTATCATAATACCCAAATTAAACATAGAATCACAGAATGATTAGGGTTGGAAAGGACCTTAAGATCATCTAGTTCCAACCCCCCTGCCATGGGCAGGGATGCCTCACCCTAGCCCAAGGCTCTGTTCAACGTAGTCTTGAACACTGCCAGGGATGGAGCATTTACCACTCCTTTGGGCACCTGCTCCAGTGCCTCACCACCCTCACTGTAAAGAACTTCTTCCTTATAGCTAACCTGAACTTCCCCCGTTTTAAATTTAAACCCATTACCCCTTGTCCTACCACTACAGTCCCTAATGAAGAGTCCCTCCCCAGCATCCTTGTAGGCCCCCTTCAGATACTGGAAGGCTGCTATGAGGTCTCCACGCAGCCTTCTCTTCTCCAGGCTGAACAGCCCCAACTTTCTCAGCCTGACTTCATATGGGAGGTGCTCCAGTCCCCTTGTCATCCTCGTGGCCCTCCTCTGGACTTGCTCCAACAGTTCCATGTCCTTCTTATGTTGAGGACATGAGAACTGTACACAGCACTCCAAGCGAGGTCTCACGAGTGCAGAGTAGAGGGGCAGGATCACCTCCTTTGGCGTACAGTAAAAAGGAAAAGGAGGTTAAGTTGGAATAGTAATTTTTGATCTATTCACTGGTATGATATTGAACACAGGTAGTGAATGGGATTTGCAGCAGTGTAACTGGAACAGATGACTTATGGGTCGCAAGATAATCTCTGCAACTATAACTTGAGCTTGGAACATAGCAAACATAAGCCTGTGAGCAGGTATGCCCCAGCAGATAGTTAGTGAGCATGGAAGCAGTGTCTTTGTTGTCTCTGTTTTCTGTAGTCTGTACCACAGATCTGACAGGTGACAGCACTCTTGACTTCCAGAGCAGTGCTTCTGTGCCAATGATTTCTCCTTTCAAACTGCATGAATATCACAAATTCTCTTCAACTTTTAACCTTCATATTCAATTATGTGTGAAATTGTGCAGAGACATCCCTAGTTGTGAAAGCAACTCTTCAGTCTCAAAATGGTCAACTACTGCTTTTTCAAGTAATGCTCACTGTAACTGCAACTGACATGCCCAAAGGGTTGTTTAAAGCAGAAAACATAGTGAAAAATAGATTTCTTCCAGTTGCTTTTAGTGGTTGTCTTGCCTGTTACTTTAGTAGGTGATATTTATATTCATAGATGTTTATTTTAAAAAGTAACCTGCGTGTCAAATGCACTAAGAAGATGGAATAAGCTTTCCTTCAAAGCTTGTGGTATTTGTGCAGCTGTCTTTCTCTGTTAACAGGGATCACCACAAACTATTCCACTTGCACCCCAAGTATCAAGACTTGTCCGGATGGCATCTGTGATGTGATTGAGAGCAAAGATCCGGCTGTGTGTCCCCAAGACTGCACAAGTATGGAAATGTTTTAGGATGGGCTTTTCTATATCACTGCTCATCACGGTTCAAGTTCCAATTTCCTGATAACAGATTCTTTAACAAGAATCGTCATTTAACAAGAATCTTCAACATATTTAGCATCTCTCTATTATCATGCCTGCATTTGAATCGTACAGGAGAGTTAAGGTTAGGGGGACTAATCTTTTTTAAGCCAGTCAGCCAGCACCTATTGGCTGACAGTAATGGAGAGATAATGTTTTCTCAGTAATTCTCATTCCTTTCCCCTGTTAATTTGCAGGTAGTGTTTTTTAGTGGAGGTATTTGCTGAAACAGGTATAGGTGTTAGGAAAGTTAATGCGCTATTTCCAAACTTTAGCACAGTATGATAGAAACCACGCCTATTTCAAGTGCAATTTAAATAAGTAAGGAGAAAAAAAATTCCACTTAAAATAAATGTGTTTACAGAGGATCATTTGGGGAAATGCATCTGGCCTTATTTGACAGGTGACCATCAAAATGATCCAGTGCCTTATCTATTTGAATATACAGGCAGAGATTCATATGAGCAGCATTTATAAAGGAAGAGTTGAAAAGCATTTGTTTTTTTTCTTGAGCATGTATTTCTACATTCCACTCATACACCTGCTCATACCTGCAAGTTTGCAAATCACCCTGAAGATAAAAAGGTTAGAAAAACAGTGTATTGCACTTGAGCAATTTCAGTCTTTCACGAGATTATAATTTTTAAGTGGATCTTTTTATCTATCAGTATCTAATTCAGGAATAAATACATAGCTGTTTCTTGAATAATTCTTCTGTCTCTGACATAGTATACTCCAAGTTTACATTTTAAAATTGAGTCTTTCAAGAATTAGCATTTACTTACAGGATAAGACTTAACGATCTTCTATAAAAGGAATTAATAAAGAGGCATCTTTGTATTTTTTACATGCAAGAATGGGACTGTGTATTGTAAACGACTTACTGCATAAAAACCAATCCTTTGAGTGGCAGAAATGCTTGAACTGAATGCAAGTAACTTCTCTAATCATCTGAAAAGAATTCTTTGTTGGTAATAACCAGAATTAGTTGTCATTCCAAAAGTTGAAATATTTGTGCCAGAGGCTGCAATGCTGGAACATTAAATGTGCAACATCAGATGTTTTGCTCAACAAAAGCCTGAAAGAAATAGTGTCTTAATAGAGCAGGCAACTAAGACAAGCTTTCAAGATGTTAGGTATGCCTTTTTAATGCCTGAGTTGGATAGTTTTATTCATGATTTAATGCAATTCAGAACCTGGGCTGGTGTCCAAAAGCCATATGTTTACAGGCAAAGAAATTAGTGTGTTTTAGGAACTTAGAGGTGCAGGAGTACCACTGTATCAGCTTTTACTGGCAGGGGACATTTCTTAAGGGACTGGCAAGAATTAAATAGAAAGCACCAGCTGCGTTTAGATCAAGGATATTCTTTAAGTACAGACAGTTGCTAAAATACTACTTTTTTCTTTTGTAATTCATCTGTCATTATGATGGCTGCGTAGTGGGGTCCCAAATTCTCTTTCTTACGCTAAGGTGTTACATTCAAGGGCACTCAGCTGAAACAACTGGTGCTGTGGCTGTGCCTATCAAATAGAGGCAACCTAATTGCATTCTAAGCAGCAGACTTTCTTATAGTAACTGCTGCTGAGCTGGTTGCAGTGTGCGAATCTGGTTAAGCATTTGTAAGTGACAGATCTTTGTAAGTTCCTCTGAACTTTGGCTTTCTGATAATGGAGAAGACCCATAGTGCCTAGGCTTCTACTTTGCTTTGTATGTCTTGTTTTCAGGTAGTCAGATGTCATCTTTGGTTTTGTTCAACAATCCATGTTTTTACTTTCTGAATTTCTGGAGTTTCTGTGTGATGTAGGATAGAGACACATTTTTATGTTTTTCATAATGACCCTGAAGCAGGGAAAGCTCTTTGCCACCACGGGGCAATAGAAACAGCTGATGATTTCAACAAAAGCATGTGAAACACCACACAATTCAAAACAATATTAAAAATTTTGGAATTTCCTTACCAGAAATGCATTGGTGAAAAATACATTTTTGGGTCTCTGGAATTCATATAGGAAGTTCCATTTTTCTGCACACCTGCAGTGACAATGTACTCCTCATTTCCTTGCTGTATAAACCCCCTTTGTCTTCAAATCCTTTGCTCAGGAACAGTTTAGATAGGACCTGCTCATCCTCTGCTTCCCCTTCCTCCAAGCCCTCAAACAGGCAGATATAAATACATAGTATTTTTCTGAGGCTAATGGAAGTTTTACTTCTTCACTTCTTCACAATAGAGGAAGTTAGCTGGTGAGGGGATAATCAAGAATTTTTGGGAACACCAGCACTTCTTCAAAGAAGTGTCCACTCAGAACAGTGACTCAGCAGAGTCTCTTCCAGAATTAACCAGCTGAGCTGCACACAGTTTGGTAGATGTGGCCTTTCTAGAAGGATGGTCAAAATCCATTTTGCTTAAATACTCAAGTTCCCGTTTCACTTCTTCTGAAAAAGGCTGTTTGCCTTTATGTTGCCAAAAAATACCTGTTTCCTCAATTTGTGTTACACATGTAGAGAATGTAAGAGTCGTTCACTGTACTATTGACTTAGATGTGATGGAGGAAAATGAGTTAAAATAAAACCAAGACTATATTGGAAAAAAATCATTCATCTTTTGAATCCCTTTATAGTTTAGCCAGTTTTTTTGAAAGGCAGCTAAACTTGCAGAACTTGATTGGCTTCTGTCTATAAATGCTGTTTGTGATTAAAGACAGTTTGTAAATAAAAAATGTCACAACTAACAGACATTTTTATAATATATGCAGAAAAAAAGTTATTTAATCGGAAACAAAGTTGCAGTTACTCTGCATAAAGAACTCCTGCTTGAAATCAAGTGTAGTTCTGCATAAGGTTCTGCACTTTTTCCCTAAAATTAAACAATGCCTTTTTAGGCAATGAAAGATTTATTTTTTTATCACTTATACTTGGCACTTACTGTTAGTGCTATCACTAGACTATCACATGGCATTTTACAGATGTGATTAAGTATCATTATCTCAGTTTGACAATGGAACAAATGATTTCTAGAACAGTATGCTGACTTTTCCAAGGTAAGAGGAAATTGGCATCAGAACCAGGAACAGAACTCGAGTATAGACACTGCTGGTCTAAACCACTGGACATCATCTCATGCGTGAAAAAATTCTGAAAACAGTGGTGGAGAGAAACTAGAATAGACTAGAGAAGATATTTGAGGGAGAATTCTAAAATGTAAGATGACCTCACTGATACAGAACAATAATATTTTATCAGGAAACCGAGTCAGGACAGCCATGAGATAGGCGTTTGAAATAAATGTTTGGCATTAAATAGTGGGGTTCTATATAAAGTTTCAAGGGGCACATGAAATTCGGCAACTATCCCAACTATGCAAATGCAAAGAGAACTATTATATTTTTATTAGAGATAAATTGTGATCCAGAGTCTTCCTTAATGGGAATAACTGCTAATCAGAGCTAACGTTCAAGCACTCCAAGGTCCCCTTATTCAGAATTTAGACTCTCCCTTAATTCTTAGGATTCTCTGTCTTTATCTCTGCACTGTGCTGTGCCCTGTCAAATTTCAAATGCATACTAGGATAACCACATGGGAAACCTTGAGTCCCTCCCCCTTTTTTTTTCCCCTTTAATTGTGTGTCAGAATCTTAGGTTATGTCTGTATTTGATTAGGTGGAAACATTATTGGTGGTCATGGGAAAGGCATTGGAAATCTTGGAATTAAGTCAGGACACGGCATTTGTTACTGCTTCCCAAGACAGAACTGTTACTGTGAGAAAGATGATATCAAGGGTAAGCCTAAACATTATCTGCTGTTCTTATACTGATCTTTCCTCTCTATTTACCAATGATTGAAACTTGTGGGCATGTTAATAAGCATTGTCTTTGGTCAGATCCTGCTAATATAAAATTACTTAAGAACTGGCACCTTGACTTCTACTATGGAGCCTAAAAATTTCCAGAGGGGGTTATATCTAGCCTTGGTTAAAGATTCTTTTTAAGCCTTTACTACATTACAAACAGGTTGGTTCTCCTTTCATTTCCAGCAGCATTTGCATTTCAGTGAGACTCACCTGCTATTTGCAAAGACAGCTAGGAGAATTAGAATAATGACTTTGATTGCTTTCAAGTAATTCTAGCTTCCTAATCATTTCTGAAAATCTCGACTTCAAAATGTCAGAGGTAACCAGCACCCGTTGTGTTAGGAGGAGGAGTGGATTACTTTTTTCATGGACCTTTGTTTAAACAGAAAGCCTCTACGCAGTTGTTTGAAACAGATCGATGGTGATTAAAAAAAAGGGTTTTTTAAAAATTGTTTTTATTATTAATAAACGTAACAAAATATTTTGCATCTCAAAAACCAAATTGTTTAGAATAGATCTTGATTTGCTCTTTTGAGTAAATTTTCTCAGGTGTAAGACAAAGAAAGTTTCTTGCTGTATTATTTTTTCTTCTTTTTTTTCCTGTCTTTTTTTACTCCCTGTTCTAGAAATATATTGCGCTGTTTCCATTTATTTCCACTTATTTCTGCAGTACAGCTTGCAGATGTAGCTAAATTAATTATGTATCTAAAGTCAGGATTCTCTGATGAGCAAAGTACAGTATTTTGGATCTCACAGTTTCTTCGGAAGGTGACCTCCTAGGGGTGCTGTCCAGGGACCCTTAGAGTTAAAGAAACTTAGTTTCCAAAATAAGACACTAAAGTGCTTCTGCAAAAGGGGAGGTAGTAAGTGGGGAGGAAAAAAATGCATATTACTTTAGAAGCAGTTGCAGCATTAGGCAGTGTTTTTCAGAAAAAAATATTCAGTTAAATATGAAGTAAAAATGTTCTGTCATTGTATAATCTAAAAAGACAACGAGAAATATTCTGTAATAGCTAATAATTGACATAATAAATTAATATTTGAAAGTTTTATTTGATGGGTTGAAAAACCCTGCCATAAACTGTTGTCCACAAACAGCATTCAGTCACAGGTCTTCAAGGAGATAAATGGTATTAGAAGATGAATATTTAGCAGGCTGGGTCTTAAAGAAGAGTGTCAGAAGTAGCCTACATTTATGAAGATACAGAACATGGGATCAAGCTAGCTGTCCTTACGTTTATGCAGGCAGTTAGGCAAACACCTGCTGGTATCCAAAATAAAAAAAACCTATTGGTAAGTTTTTCCTCTAGGTTTTTAAATGATTTTGAGTTATGTTTCTGTCACACCTGTGTGCATTACATGCACTGCCTAATCAGAAAAAGGAGTCAAGAAAAGTTCTGAGAAGCTGTTCTTTGTCCACAGAGCCACTATGTGATGACGTTTGCAAGACTGTGATAGCAGGGGCAGTGCTGCTGTCCTTCATCATCTCTGTGCTGCTTTCTTCCTATTTCATCCATCGTTACCACAAGAATTCTCCGAAGCCACCTATTGCCTCTGCAGAAATGACGTTCCGGCGCCCAGCCCAGTCCTACCCCATCAGTTATTCTTCCACTAATGTCCGCCGGCCTTCTTTAGATTCTATGGAGAACCAGGTGTCCGTAGACACCTTTAAAATACCAGTAAGCCTGATGTCATTTTGCATGGTTTCTTTTGATGTCTGTCTTGTTTCTGAAGAATGCTGTTTATGCGTGCAGCAAATGTTACAGAAATGCAGTCTGGTCATAGAAATACCCAACTCAAAAAACTAAATTGGAAATCACAGGCAGGGAACTGAAGATACTTGATGAGTAATCGGATAAACCATATAATCTACTCTCTGAGGCCAGTATATTCTTCCACTTTTGTTATGTTTTAATATATCATCTTAGACATCTTAGGTCTAATTCGAGACGATGTTTTTTTCCTAAATGTAACTCTGCATTTGACAGTAGTGGGGTTTTACTTTAACATTGTCCAATTACAAATTAATAGGTTCGTACATACACAAGTTGGTAGTCTCTCTGATAAGCCATAGTACTACAACAAGGTTAAGTTTAAAACAAAACCAAAAACCCTGCTGAGATCTGTTCAATCTGTTCCTGATTTCTGATCTGTAGGTGTCAGTTGGAGTGGGATTTTTACCCACATTTGAAGTTTTTTTGCCCTGTCATACCTTTAATCTAGTTTCTTCTTTGTTGGATCATATACTACCCAGGATGCCTGCCAGCTAGTAGAGAAATACTGCCACCTTATATGACGCATAGCAAGATGAAATCTATATGAATTTTAGATAGTGAGGTCTTCACAGACCTCGTGCTCAGTTTGTTTAAATTTCTTGTCTGGTTTATACGTCTGTCATCATTTTTCAGCTCTAAGGCTTAATAACACTAATTTTGTAAGAGGAGGATTGTTGCCTCTGATGAATTCTTAAGGGGAAGCCTTATTCCATGAGTAAAACGGATTTATTTCTCTGTGAAGTCCAAGGTCACATACTCCTAGTTACTCTGTAGGCAAGCATTTATGCTGTATCACTTCATCTTTCATGTGTACTCTATTTTCCAGACCTGCAAATGTAATCCATTGTCCATAGACTACATGTGCAGCCTGTTTTGAAGGTGTTTTCAAGGTAGTGGAAAACTCTTGCAAAATACCTAGAGTTTCAGAAGCTTTTTTCAGATTACACTGAGATTGATAAAAAGAGCAGCTGAACATTGCATACTGCAGTGTACTTATTCCTAAAGAACGGGCTCCTACTGAACATTAATGCTTCGAGTGTGGCTAGCCATTGCTTTTCTTGCTTCATCTTATCAGGTTCCTTTTCTCTCCTGCAGGAAGATCCAAAATGGGAATTCCCTCGGAAGAACCTAGTTTTGGGCAAGACTCTTGGAGAAGGAGAATTTGGAAAGGTTGTCAAGGCAACAGCATTCCGACTCAAGGGAAGGGCTGGCTATACCACTGTCGCAGTGAAAATGTTAAAAGGTACATTTCCATCTGGGTCTGAAATTATTTGAAAACCTTTTGTTGTAACCTCTGAATGGATTTTAAGAGGGGGTAGCATGAAAGTAAATGTTAGCTAAAACCAACCAGTGTCACAGGCTTTATTTCTTCCAGCATTCTGTTATATGCTGGCAGATTTCTGACTTTAAGTGCTAGCATCACATTGATCCAGGTAATTTCCACAAGTAATTCTAATTTGTGGTGTCCAAGGAGCCTCTGTCTTAACGTAGCAAATATATTTAATTTTGTTTGGCATTGGTGGAAATACTGCAAGGGTTTGTTACAGCTTCCTGATTTATTTTTTTCCTCTACCCAGTTTTCTTTGACAAAGCTTTTAAAATAAATCATGTTATAATTGCATCAAGAGACAGAACAGACCTATTAAAATACTTTTCTGTTTGAGAATTCCATCTACTTTTATACTTTCTGATCTGCTTTTCAATTACTAGCAGCTCTGCCAAACTGGCATGAATAGCCCAGTGCTGTCTCCTGGCATCTTCAGTTTTCCCTGAGACTCTAAAGCTGAGGAAAACAAAGTATGCCTAGATAATGTTAAGATGATAACATGAGACCTTGAGCTCAACCATTCACTGCTGCTTATAAGGAAAAACATGTCATTATAAGAAAATGTTATACTTCTTACTACCATTTCTATTATATGCAATTAAAAAAAAATAAAACAAACCAAACAAAAAAGAAAAGCCCCAGAACTACATCTGCTGCTACTTGAGAGCAAAGATGCCGTATGTCCCATCGTGTTACCAAATAAATTCATTATGAAGTGCATGTCTGCATTGCAAAAGGTTCAGTGGAGAACAGGTCATATGGAGGAAGTCTAGGAACTAAGTTTTTCAGAAGACTAATTAACTGTTACTTGTAATAGTCAAGTAACAACCTGTATGCAGTTATCAATAGAATAGTCTTAGTTATTATTTCATTTCATATTTATTTGTGCATTCAGTGTCACTGCTTATTCTAGCACATTTTTACCAACAACATGTGACTGAGTTAAGATTCCAAGACATTCAGCTTTCCCTAGCTATTAGTAAGGAAAATTGACAGAATTGATAATGTGAAGGAGTAATCCTTTATTTTAAGCACCTTATTTTAATAAATTGATCTGACATTTACAGTAATACTTCAGGTTCTAATGAATCCCTTTGTAATGTAAATTACAGTGCAGATAGTCACCTGAAATTCCATTTCCCAACTTGACTGCAGAGAATATATGTCATTCTACAAATATTTATCTGTTGTTGTTGGTTTAACTTTACGGTTAACACATGACAACTGAAGTATGAGAAATGCTGCATCAGCCCACAGTGGTCTTTATAACGCTGTCAGGAAGTATAAAGGACAGTTACTTTGGATCAGGCCAACACCACCATTCTTTCCCTGTAACAGGTGCAAAGAGGGTAATTTGTCCAAGTATAAGGGGTTCTATTCTGCCCAGTCTTTGGAAGGGAATGATATGTATACCAGAATGTTAAAGGAGAAAGCCTCTTGCTTATTGCATGAAAATCATCTCCTGTCTGAGCTGTGCAGATGGTCACAGTCTGTGGTTAAGAACAGACTATGGTAGGACTCTCCCTACTTTGTCAACTTGGTGTTAGGTATTGGGGAGGGAACAAGGAGCAGTAAGTAATAGCTGAACCAAAATAGTCTTGGAGCTATGAATGGAGGTTTGAAGGAAGAGAGGCGTATTTTTTTCAGCCCATTATCACTGCTTTTCTCATATGAATTAAATCTGATCTCCTGCATGATGCAAATGTCCTCATTACAATAAAATTAAAGGGGAAAACAAACAAAAAAACCCATCAATAGACATGATTCACAATTTTTAAAAAGAAGGGGCATAAAGCTTCAGAGCTAGTTGTCTCCATTTGTGCATCATTAAAGTTAGTTTCTCCAGCAGACAAACAGGCATGGTACAGGAGGAACTTAGTTCTGTTCTTGCACATGCTACACAGTTCCAGAACTAGAAAAATAGGACTTTCTCACAGGCATTAAGTTGATGCTGATCATTTTTGTTTTAAATAAATATATATTTTTTTGTAGTCCTTACCAGTAGTGAGAGACCATCTTGTATTGCACTCCCTGAAATAAAAGACTCTGAAGTCTGAATGGAGATTCAGACTATAAGATAATATGTGGCACATACAAATGTATACCACTGATGCAAGCACACAGTAGAACAGAAAATATATTAAAAAAAATCACGACCAGGGAAAACTATTAGCACACATATTTTAAAAAGACATGTAAATAAATCTTTTGGTGGTTACAGCCTTTATGGAAAAACATGCAGTACAGTACCAAAGAGAAGCTGAGCTTGCCTTTTATTAGCCTTAAGTAAAGGTGGCCACATATTTGTCAGCTGCCCAGTAATAATACTCAAGGAACTGTCTGCCGGGTTCTGTGTGTCAGAGAGATTAAGGATAAGGTAGAAAAGGGTTATTTCTGACCTGTGGTGTCTCTATAACTAGGAATCTACTTCAAGCCCTAGTGCATTCTAAGAGGAAAACTTGTTAGTCAGAACAATCCTGCAAAAACATAAGACTTGAAAGGCTAAGAAAACCTCTAGGGGCAGTATGTTGTCATGCAATTCCCACTGACACCAGAGAAGCCTGCTTACATGTCTCCCAGTAAAATCAGTCTGAACTGTGCATTTAGCTTCTGAACTCTACATCTCGATGTGTGCTACAAGTGTAAGCTAGTAGTTTAGTGGATTTTTACACTGACAGAAAATGTATTTTTGTCTTTCTTGTTTGATCAACATAAAATCTTGGGTTTCATATGTTTCTGAAGCTTCGACTGCACTGATTCACCCTGAAGAGTTCCTTTAAAACACTAGAAAAGGTCTATAACAATTTCATGGCATCTGCAAGACATTAGAGACTCTGGTCGATTCTTGGCTGACCTACTGGTTCTGTCACCATTTGTATCAGGGCAGAGTAATGATGATTAGACCAGTTTACCAAGCCAGAACAGCAGCAGTCCCATTCACGTGGTTCTGATATGAATGACTGTGGGACAGTGGAGATGGGAAAATTTCTTTCCTGTGGGGAAGTACAGAGTTTTCCAGACTCTTGCTAATTCCAGGATAAACAGTTGATCTCATACTTCAGACGGTACGTAGAAAACTCTTGAGTAATGCTTTCCTAACCACTACTGTGTGTTTGGGCACTTTCTGCAGAAAATGCTTCCCAGAGTGAGCTGCGAGATCTTCTTTCAGAGTTCAACCTTCTGAAACAGGTGAACCATCCTCATGTCATCAAACTGTATGGAGCCTGCAGTCAAGATGGTAAATATTCGAAGCTCTTTATTAAGATGAATTAAAGAATAGTTCATTGATAGGTTTGGACCACTGCTTAATAATTGCTGAGCACCTTTTAAATTTGCTGCTGGCTGAAAAAATTAGGAGATACATAAGAAAAATGATGTTTGAAGGGAAGGGGAAATGCTATTTCAGTGTAAGCATTCTTCCTATGGTTTTCTTCAATACATGTTTTGATTTAAATTTAACCAGTCTACTACCAATTCACTTCCAATGTGTATTTTCATATTATGTTGATGCTCATAAAGTGTTGCTAAATGTGGATGATATTTAACGTTTGAGTTTTCATTATTGTTGTTATTATTCATACTAAACCAATGCTTTGATGCCTGATCCAGGGAGTGAGATCTCCTTTTGGGGAAAGAAACCCACAATCAGTCAAACAAACAAAAGATAACTACAGATCCTTTTATTAAAATATAGATGGATAGTTACACTGATACTCAGTTTTCCTCCTCTGTCACAAAACTATTGTCTGCCTCTTGTTGTAAAATAGTTGCTAAAAGCTGCAGTCATTGAAAGGTATATTTTAAGGGGGGAAAAGTTTCAGATTCATATATTATAAACTGCCAGTGAAGCAAATTTTCATTGTTCTGCGTAGGAACTGATATGAATAGTTTCTGTTCATTTTAAATGAAGTTGCATGGCAACATCCTCTTCCTTTTGCATCTGTAATTATGCAGCCTAAAATCACAGTATGCATATTGCAACCCTGAGCACAGGCCTGCCTTCTTTGCCCCCCCAGTTCTGTTGAAAGTGTCACTTTTAGTTGAGGACAGAGAATATAATTCAGGACTGAGTCATCTCTGTGTCTTAGTAAGGTAATGAACCAGTGGGGTGGGATTCTTCTTTTTTTCCTTTCCAGTACAATGTATTTTTTCATCCCAGAGGAAGTGCATTGTTTCTGAGTCACAGGCTTTTAATAAATATCAAGGTAATTCATTAGTGTATGAGGTGGGAGGGCTTTGATACAGCAGACAAATGTATTTAGCATTAAAGCACTGAGCAGGTATTATTCATGTGGGTAATGGAGAGGAGAAACTAATGGATTGAAATGTCAGAATGTTTCTAAGTGCTCTGAAAAGGCACCTTAAATACAACACTGGAATTAGCAGATGATTTGTGAGGTCGGTGTCACAGACTCCAGAAATGTTTTTTTTTTTAAGTTTCTCTAAGTTAGGGTGTTTCACAGATCTGATTTGTAAGAGGGTTGTCTCTTCTTTAGTCTCAAATTATCTAGGTGTGGGAATACAGGCAAGAGTCTGAATTCTTCTTTGATTTAGGCTGAAGTTCACTCACTTTGTTTAGAGGATGTAAGCTAAAAATATTCTGATTCCGTGGTTGATTCTCTGCTTTTTATGTAAAGGCCAGAGGTGTCTGGACTGTTCAGAACAATGTGTTGATCAGAAGAGGCTTTTTCGGGGGTGGAAAAAACATGGTTATCTGTTAATTGGTTACTTACCAGTGTGTTTGTTTATTTCAGGCCCGCTGTATTTAATTGTGGAATATGCTAAATACGGCTCCTTGCGCAGTTTTCTCAGGGAAAGTCGCAAAGTGGGACCAAGCTATGTGGGTAGTGATGGCAACAGAAATTCAAGTTACTTGGATAACCCTGATGAGAGAGCCTTAACAATGGGAGATCTGATCTCGTTTGCATGGCAGATATCACGAGGGATGCAGTACCTTGCAGAAATGAAGGTAGGGCAGTGTAATAGTGATCTGAGTTTGTCCTTTTGATAGAGAGACATGTCAGCAGTCAGATCCTTCACAAGAAGCATAAACACTATTGTTGGTTTCTTCCAAAAGCTTGTCCATCGTGATTTAGCAGCCAGGAATGTATTGGTGGCAGAAGGGCGCAAAATGAAGATTTCTGATTTTGGCCTCTCCCGTGATGTATATGAAGAAGATTCATATGTCAAGAGGAGTAAGGTACAGTGCATATTAAAAATGGTAGTGGGAATTATTACCTAATCTAGAGAATGAATTTATACTGCAGGATTTGAGCACAGAAGAAAAAGATAATAGCTATTTTTTATTAACTTAGAATAATTGCTCTATTTTAAAAGAATTAAAATGAGGTTGAAGCAAAATTATGAGTTTAGTCAGTGGGACAGTAATATATATTTATATATATGTATGCAAAAGATATGTTTAAGTCACCATTACCTCCTCCAAATCTTTTTGGTGACTTTCCAACAAAACCAATTTATGTTTAATATGTAGACGTTAAAAGTTAAAGGAGGGTCACTATGATGATTAAAGCCTTGGAGCATCTGACATGCAAGGAGAGGCTGATACAGCTGTGTTTGTTTAGCCTGGAGAAAACAGGGCTCAGGGGAAACTTGCTGATGAGAGGGAATAAAGCCAACAAAGCCAGGCTCTTCTCATTGTGGCCCAGTGACAGAACAAGAGGCAATGGGAGCTGTATTAAATATGAGTAATTCCATTTAAAGAGAAGAAAAAAAAACATTTTTACACTAACAGTGATCGAACATTGGAACAGGCTGCCCAGAGAATCTCCATGCCTGGAGATGCTCAAAACCTGGGTAGAAGTAGTGTCAAGAAATGTGCTGTGGCTGACCCTCCTCTGAGGTCCCTATCTGCCTCAGCAGTTCTGTGATCCTGTGCAGGGTTGCAAGACAATATGTAAAGAGCAGGATGAGATCCATTGTTTTTTCAAAAGCAATGTGCCAAACATGCTGTACTAAATTGTTTCTTTTTCTTAAGGCTTGAGACTTCACACAGGATGATTAAAAATAGCATGTTTCGTTAACATATATACCAAAGAATGACACCTTTTTTTCATTGCAGGAGCTTTTAACCTTTTTACAGGCAGAGGGTAGCCCAATTATAAATGAGGTTTATTCAGTTCCTCATCACACTGCTTGAAAACACAAACAAAAACCGTCACCATTTTTCTCTGACTCTTTTCCTATTTATAATTAAAAACATAAACAAAAAATTCCCAAGGAGTTGGAAAAAAAAAAAGGCAGACAATTTCTATAAAGATCTTAATTTCAGGAATTACTACATCTATGCAGAAGACTTGAAGCCCTCGTATAAATACTTCCAAAAGTATGAAAGATACTGAATCTTAATCAAAATGGTTCAAAATCACACGTTGGGGTAGATGAGGAGCTAATGATACCTGCCAGAGGTTATTTAAAGCAATTCCTTGCCACAGTAAATTGTTGTCAGGTGCCTAGATACAGTTCTGTCTGCTCAGTGCTCACGGCAGGATTCAGGATATAACACTTCATCTGTAGCTCTGTGCAAAGGAAATACGATGGAAAGATGAGTTGTTGAATCATATTGCTATCTCCCTGAAAAGAAACACTTGAGCATAATAACTTTGAGATTACGAAGTTAAGACTTGTCATTTATTTATTCTTGTAAAAAATACTGTTGAATATAGCGAGCCAAATCCTACTTTCTGCCTGTTTGTATCCACCTGTCACTGACATCAGCAGAACTTTTACAAGTCAGACCCAGGCCAGACACTACTTTCTATTGACTCTTCCTAAGATGAGTAGTGTTGGTTCAGCTCCTTCTGTGACTTAATATGAAAGAGTTGCCAACAGATTTTTTTGTGTGTGAGTGTGAAAATGTTAGAATTTTATGAAAAGATTTCCATAAATACTGTGAATTTTCAGTTTAACTTTCCCTGTTTTTTTCAGGCCAGTTTTTTGTGAATGTTTCATAAGTCAAAGTAAGTTGGAAAGGGAAAAAAACTTTTGGAAGGCATGATCATATGTAAAAGAGCTTTGCCACATTCATTTAGCTGTCTTCTGATGTATGTGTTGCACATTGATCTATACCAGTTGCTCTGTATTTTAAGAATGATGCATTACATAAAGGTAGTTTCATTTTATTTGGCAGGGTGTTAACGCACTGAATGGGTATTTTCTCTTTACTTCTGAGACACTTGTCACTGTAGTATTATTCAGAGCCTAAGAAGCCTAACTAGCATCTGTCTGCTTGCATAGGGAAATAGGGAAAAGAAAAAAATAACAAGGAAAAAAGATAAGTTTCAAATCCCTCTGAAACAGTTGTTGCATATATAAATATATATATGAATTTCATGAGAACAAGTAAGTCATGAATCCTGCTGATGTTTTGAAGGTTATGAAACATGTTGGAAATTTTGCAAAGCTAGATTTTCATTACTATCTGGGGCAAATTTCTCAGATTTTATCACTGACTTTCTGCCAGTGGAAACTACCAACTTGTAGATTCAATTTAGTAACAAGTAACTGAATATGACTGTCCAGGTACAGTTCTGAAACTAAATATATCTTAACATACAGGTGCTTCCATTTATGTGTCATCCCTGATACAAAAAAGATAACTCTTCGTCTTTAATCGTCATTCCCCATCATTTTTGCATTTATGTATTTCCCAAAAGGAATGGAAAGGTAGATATTTATGTTTGAAGAATTTAACTCTTTGGATGAAGCTATTCTAGTTTAAACTGGTGACTGCCTGGAAAAAAAACACCTCATTGCACGTTAGATTACTGAAGTGTGCGGAATGAAATAAATGAGTGAATTTAAAAACTCTTATAGTTGTTCTCCTCACTGTTTTTCTTACGAAATGCCAAATCATTCAGTCCATTGGAAAATACTAGAGTACAGATAGAGTATCTGTTACAGTTTTGAAGATAAATACCTTGGTTTTCCACTTGGAAACTTGATTTTCTGACCAGTAGTTATATGTTGCCTTTTTTTCTCCTAGGGTCGAATACCTGTTAAGTGGATGGCCATAGAGTCCCTATTTGATCACATCTATACAACACAAAGTGATGTGTAAGTGTAAATTCTTGCATTCTTTATGGTTTATGTACTTGTTTAGGGAGATGAGGGAGGAAACACAAGGTACATAGGAGCCAAAGCTGTTATTCTTACACAGAGACATGAAGAACACAGACTGGATGGCACCATTTGATGGCAATGATATGCAAGATTTTTGCTGTTGAGTTAAATCTGAAGAAAATATTATCATCAGAGGCATTTAGGTACACTCAGCAGAGGTATTTAAGTACAATCAGGTAAAATTTAGGTACAAGGATTGGATCTGTTCATGTGACATGGTTGCCTGTGAATTGACACAAATTATTATTCTTTGCTAAAGATAATTGTCATACCTGAACATCCAGTTCCTGTTCTTCACTTGTCTGTAACACTTGCTGGCAGATAAGGAATGGGTTGGCAAGAAAGGAAGAAGAATTTAATGCCTGCCCTAACTTCTGTTGATTTCAGTGACAGAACTTCAATTAATTTTAATGACAGCTACCTTAGACCTTAGGGGAATAGTCTGGTTCCAGTGCCAAGATACAAGTTCATTTGCATGATTAGGAAAACAGAGATCCTGAAGATAGCTATGCTCCTATCTCCACCTGGGATGATTAGGTGGCAGCTGAGCTGTTTTCTCATCTGATAAGCAAGGAGCCAGGCAGAAGATGCGTATGTATACATTTAACTCAGGATCAGATGCTTTTATTTCTTTCTCTCTGGGATGAATGATGGTTGTGACTGATCACCAGGTAGACACTAAAACTAAATATTATTTATTTAGGAGGAAAACCTTTAGGAAACTGCAAAAGCAGCAGTACTTATGCCTGATTTTCAGCTAGGTAGCATTTTGGGTGGCAGTTTGATACCTTCAATATTTCCCTTTGAAAGAGGATCTGGCAAAATTAAGGTTTTCATTAAACTCAAAGATAAGACATGCCAATCACAATGCCATTTCACAATGACATTTCACTTTGGGGAAGAAAACACTTTGATAATAACAGTATGTGCAAATAGAACCTTTGGATTTGTACTTCCAAAATTATTTATATTCACTTTTTACACTTTTCTCTGCAGGTCAGAGCAGTTCTAGTGAAACAGAATATCTTGCTTGCCTTGGAAATTCCTTACAAGAATAATTTCTAAAATGTTTTCATTTATCTTGTTTCATTTGGAGTAAGAAAAGAAAAAAGATTGGGGTAATTGTTGGGACAATGTCACTTTTGCTTGGGTCTACTTACAGGTTTTCCTGGGTCTCTTTTTATGCTCTTCCAAGTATCCGTATGCTGACCTGCTTCTCTAGAATGATTTTTTCCCAGAGAATTGTTACAATTCTTTAAAAAACTTCTTAGCATATTTTTAATTTCTTCATTTTCTGCAAAATAGATTTATCACTGTGGTTTGGGGCCAGAACAGATTGTGTTGTCATGTAACTGCCCCTTCTTTGATTGTTGATTGATCTTCTGGATCCAGTACTGTTCTTGTCTGTTTGTTGTCTTGATTGGCTGCTATTAAGCCCAGGAGCCCATCTTGTGTGTGTGTGACACAACACCATGCAGAGATTGCCCAGCTGGCTGGCATCAAGAAAGATAGCTCAGAGCCCTGGGCAGCATGCTGGTGCTGTGTAGCTTTACTGATTCCCCGATCTGAATTAGTATCTCTGTGTAAAGCCATGCTATGCTGATTTACCAGATTTCTTGGAGATGCATCAGGTTTTCTTAACAGAGCACTGCATTGTGCTTTGTAGGTCTGCTTCACTAGAGTGGTATAAAAAGGTCTAAATATCTACCACACTTTGACTCACTGGTGAGGTCACCTTCACTGTTTGTGTCATTATGCATGAAGTAATCTGAGAGTGTTACATAGCAGCTCCTAATTTAGCCAAGTCCCTACAGGACAGTACTGAGACAGAGACAGAGTTGGAAAGCAAATCCTCTGCAGCGCCAGGTTCCAGGTTTGAACAGCAGCAAACTGATAAATGAAGTAATTTTTTTTTTCAGCACTGATTAGATAATTAGATAATTAAAGTAACTGAAAATACTATTTTATGAATATTCTTCGATTTTTTTGTAGCGCTGCAGTTATATTTTAGGAGAATGTATATATAAATATACAACAATTCCAATATGGTCTTTTTTTCTGATACTTGGTTTCTGTTTTCCAGTCTCTTCCTTCTAAAGGCTTTCTGTATAGTTAGCAGTTAGCAGAGCCTAACAGCAGTACCAACTGCCAGCATTTACAAAATCTCATTTTTGCCTCAGAGGTCGATGACATCAGTGGAAAGTTAGCCTGCTGTCTTCCTTTTCACATATTTTTCCTTCCTAGCTTTTTGTGATCTCATTTTTATTCAGCAAAATACATAGCACAATGGGAAATTTTTCATCTCCCATTCCTCCTCCCATAGTTCTTAATTTGTATAATGATTTGGAAGCATTGCAGCATTCTACAGCATTCTGTTCCAATATGTTGTTTCACTAAACAGCATTAATGAAGAAATTATTCATCTGATCCATCCTTCCATATTCTGTAAAATTCCTCTTAAACAGAAGAGGAGTATTTTAAAAATCTGCCATGCTACAAAGTTTACTTGAGTTAATCATGGACAGAATTATAACCTGATGGCAGAGCATAATTGGCTTCAAAAAGGGTATGAGGAGGTATATTAATAAAGTATATGAAAATGCTATAAATATTCATAAGCTTTCAAGAAAGTGCAGAGTGATTAAAAATTAATTCAATGAATGGCATGAGGGAAAAATTCGGCAGCATACTACTTAGGAGTGAGTAAGACTCACTTTGGCTTTTCTGCCCATTTTGGAAGTTTTTATTGCTGTACTTTTGGGTTACCATTGTTCTTTAAAATGTGAGAAGCACAAGTGGAATGTAGTCAGACAGGAGATGAGGTTTGTGGCTAGCTTTTTGAGGTGGAATTTTCAAAGGGAATAACACACTGCTGTTTGGTTTGGCAGTAGGTGTGCAACACTTCCTAAAATCTTCTTAAAAGTGGAGTTTTGACAGAAGTTACCCAGTGATGAGAACACAAAAGATATAATTTGTCATGAACTGTATATAATTTTGCTTGTAGATGCATCCCATTGTGTATTCTGTTTGAGTGAAACAGTGCTATCTAGTTTCCTTAATTTTGAACATCCAAATTTTGGCAATTCTGTCAGTTGAGCAGATTTGGAGTAATTTGTAGCTTCTTTGTGTCTCAAAAAAGCCTTCCCCTAAAGAAAGAAAAACATTTTTGCATCTCTTCTCCTGGCCTACCCTCCAAAACCAGACTAGTTTAATCTATCTAAATATTTCCAACCCGTTGAGTAAGGTCTTTTTGTTTGAGCTCATCAGTAATGTAGGTTACAAAAAACTCTCTATTTCTTCTGTTCGTTTCAGAAATCAATGTCTTCTGTTCTATGTTAAGCTATATTTTAGGCATTTGGTATTTGCAGAATAAATTATTTCCTCTTCTTCATCAACTCTAGGAAGAAAATTAAGTCCTGAACCATTGAAATGGCCTAACAGAGCAGCTGAAATTAAAGGTGCTGAAATGAACATATAAAGAAGCACAACCTCATAGTCAAGACAACAAACCAGTTCCTTGGTAACTGGTTGAGCCAGTCTGTGTAAATTTAGACACTTCTTAAGAGGACTATAAGAGCCAATTAGGGAGGTTAGACTCCCTAAGGTGCTAAGGGAGGCACCTCCAGGAGCCTTTGGACTGGACAACCATGGGAGGGACTTTCTCTTTCTGCTGTCTAGACAATATGGGCCTTCCCAGGATACAGTTAGCTTTTGTCAGTGGATGAAAGAGGGGTATGCCTTATCTCTACTCTCTTGGTTGCTAGCCTTTTTAATGAATGATATTTGGGAACAAAGATGGCCCTGTATACATCTGTAGAGCTTCTCTGGCTCAGCAATGTCTTGAATTTGGTTGGATTCTCAAGATTTGTTGGGTGAAAGCCATACTAAGCTCTTGAAATCTACCACTCTAAGTAAAAGCTCATTTCTTCTTTTTCAGATGGTCATTTGGAGTTCTGCTATGGGAGATTGTAACTTTGGGAGGAAATCCCTACCCAGGTATTGCTCCTGAAAGACTCTTTAACCTCCTAAAAACAGGCTATAGAATGGAGAGACCAGAAAACTGCAGTGAAGAAATGTAAGTAGCTCTTGATCTGATTAGATTTATAAACATCTCTTGAATAAATATATTAAAAAAAAAAGTTTTAAATAAATACCATATAAATACTATAAATACTATTTTTTGTTTGTTTCGTTTCAACAGGGAATAAGACTTTATTCCTCAAACATGTATTACATCATTGATAACTAGTAAGTTAGGCAAGCTGACCATGACTGAGTTTCTTTTTTTATTCAAGCCACATCATGGTTTTCTGACTGGTTGAGATTGTTTTACTCAGAAATTTTTTGACAGCCTTTGAGAGCCCACTTTAAGGACCATTTTTCTTAAACTGCATTCTCTGCTTTACCCAGTCAAGTAAGAAAGAGATCATGGATGAGGGCGAAAAATGAAGTGCTTTTCAATAGCTCACTGTAGTTCTTGTAGCCAACTACTTCCACAATTAGAGCAATTCTGTGACTAGATCACTTAGTCCTGAAAACACTTGAGCTAGAAAAAGTAATATGAATGGCACAGATTGGAGATTCACATTCACATTCAGAACTTGGCCAGTATCTGTCTGATAGTCACTCAACTCCAAGACTTTAATTCTGCTTCCTTCAGTTTCCACACTGTATGCTGTAGAAGGTAGTTGAAGATAGAATAAGAACAGATATAATCAAAATAACAGTAAGAACAGTAATCAAAATGATGTTATTTTGTGCAAATAGGTTAGTCTTTGCTTTGAAGAAAAGTTTACAGAAACTTTTCAGAATTTAAACAGATGAAGTACAAAATTCTACTTTCAGATATAACAGCAGACTTTTTCAGGTTTGAGGGATGCACATCAGTGATGATACACACTTTTCTTCAAAGTCACATGCAAAACAAATCAATTGGGAATCTGGCGCACCGCCTACATGAGGCCGGTCCTTTCGAGGAAGTGAAAATAATGAAAGAAATCTAAGATTGCAGTCCTTTAAGGACAGCCCAAGTGCATCATCATTTAAACTCATAGGCACTCATGACAGTAAAAGCCCATTCTTGTGAATGTCGGTTATTGATTCAAGGAATGTTTGATAGAACACACAACAAAGATTGATGTACTTATGAATAGCCTTCATACCACAGTTCAACTTCAGTACCCTAAATTATTTGAGCAGAAGCATGACCCACTTTTAAGAATAACTATTTGTTTTTTGTTTTTTGTTTTTTCACTTTGTGGTGGGTCACAGGTACAACCTAATGTTACGCTGTTGGAAGCAAGAACCTGATAAAAGACCAACATTTGCTGAGATCAGCAAGGAACTAGAGAAAATGATGGTGAAGAGTAGGGTAAGTGTGGGAAGGCATGAGGTTTTGAAAGTTTTTTCTGGTCACCTGAACTTGAATATGTAGAAATAATGATTGATTGATTGATTGATTTATTAAAAAAGCTGAGTAGTTTACTTTTCATCAATTTTTAAGCACATACCTAGTTTCTTCCAAATACATTCAGCTTTTTGAGAGCAGTATTACGTTATATAGTGGCTTTGGTAACTTCAGCCCTAAATGCAGACGAGTTATCCTTAATCGCTTTAACTGTCTTAAATAACTGTAGGAAGCCTAGAACAAGAAAAAAATGTGGTATTTCCTCGAGCCTTATTTAGTTATGTGGTGACAGCAACAGAGATACAAAAGCTGTATAATTCCATCTGAGTTACTTTAAAACTATTATAATCCTGTATAGACTTCCTTTGAATGAATGGATGCTAAGGTCTAAAAATAAGTCCAAGGTGCCTATATCTGTAAAATATATACATACCTACTTGCACATAAACACATTTAATTATTAAAAATAGTAAAAAATAGTAGTTACAGGAAGGGGAACAGTTACAGATGAAAACCAGGAAATACCAGATTTGAGAATGCGATGGTATTTACACTGTTTGCAAAAAAGACTAATCAGCAAATGCGAACACTTTTGCTCAGAATGTGAATGTAAAAGTAAGTTCTAAATAAAAAATGGAAGGGTGAAAGGTCTAGGCTATACGTTAAATCACTCCGACTTGTACTGCTAACTTATAGCTGCTGAGAACCAGTATGCAAACGATCTGCATGTCCAGTGGCAGACTTGTAATACAGAGCTTGGCAAGTTTTCTGAAATTCTCACCATAATTAAGACAAAGCAAATCCAAAATAGAGCTTGAGTAATTAGTCATTCTTCTTGCCTTTCTGAATGAAACATTCTGAAGATTCTTCAGTTTATAAAATTGGGTAACTTAATCATAGAATAGTTACTTTACATTTTTAAAGTTTCATTTTGGTAAATTTCCAAGGAAAAGCCATTTGAAAAGGAAAAAGTGTATTTTAGATTAGTTGAAATGCTTCACATTTGTTTTTTGTATCAAAGCAATTCAGCAGCATTGATGAAAACCTACAAATTCATGTGGTTGACCTAAATATTTAGTTTTAGAACAACGGCATCAGAAGTTTTATTTGGCAATATTTACACAGCTAATTTTATACATGATTATGTAATAGCTTTTGTAAAAATGATGAGAAGATCTGAGTACCTTATCCTTTAATCACACATATGTATCTATGTATTTCAGGCATGCATATGTATTAGGCATAACAAACTGAAGGTCAAACAAATCAGTTAGCACAGCACTTTAACTTCTCACTTATTTTACTGATGTGCAGAATTAAGTAAGGCAAGTATTAATATGTCTGCAGCATGTCTAGTGTTCTGGCAAATCAGATACTTCCAAAGATGCTATGGTTGCAGAAAGGAAAAGCCTATTCAGGTGCCAGAGGTACTATCAAAAGACAAATGCAGTGAGGTCTGTAGTTACTTGTGTTGAGGGTACCAGATGTACATAATAGCCTTTATACCCAGCAATACTGCCACGTATGTTAACCCAGCTTTTTCTGTGTTCACTTCTTAGGACTACTTAGATCTTGCAGCTTCCACACCTTCTGATTCCTTACTTTATGATGATGGGCTCTCAGAAGAGGAGACACCTCTCGTGGACTGTAATAATGCTCCCCTCCCTCGAACCCTCCCTTCCACATGGATTGAAAACAAACTCTATGGTAGAATTTCACATGCATTTACTAGATTCTAGCAACAGAAAAAAAAAAAAAAGATTTTTCTTCTGCACTGTTCTCAGACTCTGTAACCGCATTACAGTGTTTCTTGTCTGAATGAAGCCAATCAAAATTTGCTTGGAAGCTTCTTTTTGGGTTCTTTCATTTGTTTTTAATTTTGGTAAATGTCAAAGTTTGCATCAGGATCATCCTTTAGTCGTTTTGCAGCTGTGTTTAAAATAAACATTTTTAAAAGGATGTGAAAATAAGTAAAATGACTAGATATCATACAGTAAAAGAAAAAAAAGATCAGGGACGTAATCTCAGGGGAAATATAAAATGCTAATGAGTATCTAATTCAGCTGTCCTATTGGGGGAGGCTAGGAACATTGGAAATATGTTAGATTCTGCATGTCTAATTTAAGCAATAGATTTTTTTTTTAAAATACTGTTTTTTGCCACAGCTCAGTTACAGGACCCATCTGCAATATTTTTTTGTTTATCAAGATGGATTTCTAAATTTCAGCTGCTGTTAATGTGTTCTGGATCCATAAGCTGAAATGTCTATTTAATGTATCATAGAATGAAACCAGATTATATATACAGAAAGTAGAAATACTGTATATAAGTATTATATACAGACTAAATTGACATGTAAAGTCCTTTGAATATTGAATTAACAATTGTCATTTTGAAAATACACTCAGCTGTTTTCACGTCCTTTGATTTATTATGAAAATGTCAGTACTAAACCTTGATTGAATGATGTAGCAAGTGTTTTTAAAAAGAACATATGCTTTCATATTGTGATGGTGAGATGGACAGTAAAAATGGTTCTTGCCAAAACTCCTACATTTTGTCTCCTGATTAAATACTCTACATGTTTTTAGATACTTATTAACATCACAGATACTTTTTTCATTCTTCAAGCAGTATGACTTTTGAAAAGTTGGATCTTTTAGCTTAAAAGTTGCCATTAATACATGGCTTTGGGTCTATTTTTGATCTATACCCTAGTTTTAATTTTCTTTAATAGGTTCCCCCAACACGTTCACTTTGGGGCACTTAGTGGCCAGATTGTTAAAAGAATGCAATAACAGGAAAAGTTGCCACCAAGGCCAATGGCAGATGCTGAATGCTTAATAAGCAACAAAATCAGATTCCTGCTTTTGAAAATCTTGACCCTGGTGTGGTTCTCTGCTTGTACAGCTGAATCAACATGGTGCTAAGCACTCTGCTTCCATGTTGGTGATCACTTGTGCTTAAACTGAGAAGGAGTTACTGGACTCAATGCAAATAGTTACATGCCTGAAATACAGGTTTAAAAGCTGAATCAAGACAAGAGTGCTCAGGACTTTGTTGAACTTTACTCAGCTGTGCTACTGGGATTTCCTAAAATTAAGCAGGGGATCCCTGGTGAGGGAATGAGAGAGTCCCTAAAACCTCACTGAAGCCAAAGGAAAGGTGCCCATTTAAGTAAATAGAAATACTCTCAGCCATTGGAATAGACTTTGGATCCTGTCCCAAATAGGTTTATTAATTCTTGGAGCACTTCCTGTACAGCAAGAACTTCCTCTTGCAAAGCAGTATATTGCTACATGATTGTTAGAAAATAATAGAAAGTTGGAGGCTTATCAGAAGAGAAGTTACTAGCTTTTCATTATGTGCATGTGCATGCACACACACAATTTTTTATCAAGTAAGCACTTTATTTTTTCAGGGGTTTTGCCTGCATTTGAATTTGTGCTCCAGGGGTTTTGAAACATCATTTATATGAATTGATTTGGGACAAAATCCAGTGGACTGGCTTAAAATATTGAAGGGAGTTTTGCCAAGGGCCTTACTGTCTGCACATGAAGTTATGGTTCTTCAGTGCAGAAAAAATTATCTGTTTTCATTTTTAGGCATGTCATACCCGAACTGGCCTGAGGAGAGCCCCGTTCCACTCACAAGATTCGATGGCACTAACTCTGTGTTTTCAAGATATGCAAATGATAGTGTATATGCTAACTGGATGGTTTCACACTCAGCGGCAAAATTTATGGACAAGTTTGATAGCTAAAATTTTCTTTGTGAAAGGTAATGGACTCCTGAGGGGAACAAAGATGCAAAGAATGGAAAGTCCATTGGCTCGTTCTTTGTACAATTAACAGCCAACTTTTAAATTGGCAAAACCTTTTATTGGTAGTTTCTAAAGTGTGTTATTCATGCTGAAGACTAGAATTGGTGATTTCCCCATTCAGAAAACATATCAAGCTGGATAAGAGTTGTAGTTCCAGTACTTCTTTCTAGACTGCCGTTTTGCAAATGGTTCCATTTGGCAACTTCTTACTGGAAATAGCCTCACACTTCATTCTCACGTTTTTTTAGACTAACCATCCTGTGTTACAGCTTTCTTGGATGGGAAAATGTACTTGAACTGCTACTTTTATAGTGGCTGTTAGCATATGACCACTTGATCTAAGCAGGAAGCACAAACAATATATGGAAGGGAGGGGGGGAATAGGCTCCCAAATTACTGAGCTTGCTATCACATGAGAAGTGTAATGAAGCCTCTATCTTAGTTTGGAAGCAAACATGAAGTAACTCAATAGAGGACTTGAGATTCAACATTTGAAGTCTTGTAAAATGTATTGTTTTGTTTTAATGAAAATTTGTTTTATTAGTCTTAACTTCTCTTACCTTTAGCACAATGGAGATAAATTTGATACAAGATAAGCTGTATAGACTGATGGCAGTCAAGAGTGTTCACCTGAGACAATTTACTTTCTATCACCTACATCTTACTAATGTTAAAATGTACAATCTTGTACAATCATAATTCCTCGTATAAGTTCAAAATAGTCTGTACAGGATTTTTAGATAGAATTCAAGTAAACAGATTTTGTTTGCAGTCATGTTCAAGTGGTTGGAGTCCTCTTCTCAGCTCCAAATCGGATACACTGCCATGCACAGGACACTGCCATGACATAACTTCAAATAAGCCTATTACCTTGAAAGTCAAGAGTAAACAACGCTTGCACAGCAAAACTGGTGTAAAACTGTGGTTAATGAAACTATACAAGGAGAATGTCATCAGAATTTATTAAGGTGAAGTATAAAAATGTTGTGCTTACAACGCTGACTTGATATTTGGGAGAATTACCAGTCTGTGGGTCGTGTTCTATATGGAAGAGTAAACAATCAGCATTACTTCTGTCTTTATTTGTAATCTAATATTGTTAAAGGTAACTGTTTGCTACAAATGTTGGGACGTAAATCCTGAGTGACCAGTTGTTAGCATTGTGACGGTTATTCAAAATAATCCAGTTCTACCATAGCTTGCTCCTGTCATTTACAATCCATTTTAGCTGTTTTCAGATGTTGTTTTGTGTATCAACTTTATGTTTCCATTAAAGTCTGTGATTTCAGAAACAAGATCTTGAGTCAGACTGCCAAAACCTGAACAAAGATTTTCATTTTACAGAAAGTGGGATATAAAGTTCAGTGTTGGAATTTAAACACCTTTACCGTTGGATACCATACTTGATCCGATCCTGGTTTCAGACAAGCACTAAGCAGAGTGACTTTTGCTTCATACAAACACTTGCTCTGTTGCGTAATGCTTATGTACAGTAAACAGATACTGCTATGTATACAAAAGGGGTTTGGTTGTGATATAATGGTAATCTTCACTGGCATGACACAACCGTCAGAATAGATGAGCGCTTTTTTTCTATTGAGATACCTATGGAAAAAGAAGAGAAAAATGGCACTTGTAACTTTTTGCTTTGTCCAGTCCTTCTCCTATATGTTATGTCTGTATGTGGGAATTCTTTATTTGCCATGGACAATCAAAACATCAAGATTTTGTTCAATTTTTTTTTTTAATTCTTCCTTAAATTAGGAATTTCTTTTTGTCAGCTATCTTCTGCAAAGTACTAAACTGGGAGATGTGAAGCACCCAGTTTCTAATCTGAAAAGCCCTGTGACAACATTGCTGTACGGTAGGTGAGTGGTATAGTAACTGATGCTGAAATAACAAGTGGATGCAGGAAGTATTGCGTATTTTAGACTTCCAGCATGAGTCAGTGTTGTTTCAACCATTAATTCCTGTGAAAAAATTGACTAATAGTTATTGTCACCTGTTACCAGACATAGATTCTGCATATAAAATACATATACAGCTCATAGTTACAGTTGCCATACACAATTACTTGCATTAAGTGCAACTCAGTGAAAAATTCTTAACAGTTCTTTCCTAATCCAGATAATTTTGACTCCCTTCCTGCTTGTGAATGTTGGTAAAATATTATTACTTACAAGTATTCATTTGTAATATGAAAGATTCTTATGTATTTGTGTATGATATTTTTATAAGTATTTCCCTTGAAGTGTTTCCTGTTTGTTCTGTGTTGCTATTAGTCAGAATGGTGACAATCGTGTTTCAGTTCCCCATTTGAGAGTAAATGTACTTCCCATGTTGGGGGAAAAAGTGATACTGCAGATGATTATTTCCATCGGTGCCAGAAATACTTATGCACTTGGCTGCCCTGAGGAAAGAGAATTCAAAAGGAACGAATGACTGAACTAAATGTACAGGTGGGAGGGAATAACGCTCTAAAAATTTCTGCCAGCCTTTTCTAAATATCTGTGGAGATACTTAGAATGGAGATGATACAGTTTACCTGGTTTGTGCTTCATGTTGTGACAGATGGGGGAGAGAGTGAATCTCATGTGTCCTTTCAGTCATCACAGCAGTACAAGGAAGTTATTATAATACTCATTTCTACAAACTTTTCCAGAGTTACGATACTCAGAAAATCTACTGTGAGAATGCAGATTTTAATCTGCAGACATTGGCCTGAAATTTTAGAAAGGTAGACATTTTAAAAAAATCTTGTCCCATGAATATGAGGTACATAATACATAATTGTCATGCAAAATATGCATGAATCTTTATGGTACACTCAGACCTAAGTAATGCTCAAAAATTTACAGTAAAAGCAAGTTATTATTCCTTGATATTTTATAATCAATCTCATATGAATAATAAAACCCGTAAAGTATATCTGAAAAGGTAATTTCTACTGTAACTTTTGAAAATCCCCCCCAAAATTGCTTATAATTTTGAAATGCTTTCTTTTAAAATTCAGCCCACCTAAAAGCCCCCTGTC